GTATTTTTATGTTGAAGACAGGTTAATTTTTTCTGGGAAAAGCCACTGAAGTGGAAAATGGAAATAAGCTCTAGCATTGCTTTCCTTGAGCTGGTTATAGAGACTGCGCTTTGTTAAGAACAAGCAAAGGTTGACCCAACAACGCCTTACTAACTGTACAGGAAAAGTTGATTAGATATTTGTAAAGCTGGTTTTGAAGTCAACCTCTAAAATGTAAATCTCACATCAATTCTTGTAAATATGACAGAGAAAGTGCATTTCATTTTGTGAAAACAATAACAGCCCATTTATTTGACAAGTTTAGTGTAAACACACATTCGAACAATCTAAGAAACATCTGGCAACTGTTTTAAGTTTACCTTTAGTGAGTCAATTGGCTGTTTTGTTATTTATTTGGCGAAAGCTTATGTGCTCAGCGCTCACTGTTGTGAGTTTTTCTCAGGAAAAATCTGTCCAGTCCGGAGATTAAAAAAAAGGTTCATTAAAATTGACTCGTCATGTGGAGGGTGGAATAAAAGTAGACATGAATTCTCAAGTGCTTTGTGCATTTTTTAGCTCATTCATGAAATCATCGTTGGAAACGACTGAGAAGCTCTCTGTGCATTAAATCAGAACCTGCGGCCAGTAGGCCAGATGACCTACTACAAATTGAAGCCAAAACCAGAATGTCATTAATTCAGAACCAAGACCAAGAACATGTGGAACAATTTACACAATACTTCCTTTAACTCTGGGTCATCTTAAAATCTGTGTACAAATGTAGAAGACAAGCTAATGTTCACATGTCTCTTGATTAACAGATTTAAAGAACTTCATGTTAATTTCTGGCAGTCAAAAAGTCAAGTTTCAGGTCCTACTTCTGTTTGGCTAATCATTTCTGTTTCACCTGTTCATCACTGTAACTGTCATCAACCATTGAGTGTTACTTTTTTTTGCCAACTTGTCAAGACCAAGCAGCAACACTTCCTCGAGTGTCCATTTGGAGCTGGCTCTCAAAAGATCCAGAAGTCCCACACACACCCCATATTAAAATAATGACACTTCTGGGTATTTTGAAGTCAGCCTCAAAAGGGACACTCGAGGAACTGGACACTCAAGGAAGTTTGCCTCTTGCTCTCAAGTGAAGCTGACAAGTAAATCCAGGACTCTTGCAACAAACCTGAATGATCCTTTTTTAATTCTTCAAATTCTGTAGATTTTAGAAAAGTTTTTTTAAGCAATTTTCTCATTGGTAATATGTTTAGATGCCAGCACAGAGTATCCCCCTGTTTTAAACAATCACATAACTCTTCACAGATTTTTTGATTTAGTCCTGTGATGGGAGATTTGGCTTGCATGTTGGGCCATAAACTGAACCCCACGACGGCGGGAAAACGGAAGAACTTGAGGAGGGGGAGGAGAGGTTAAAGAAGAAGAGCAAACACACTCAGTTGACCTTCCCTAAACAAACAGCAGATAAAAAAGAAGAGAATAATGAGCCCTCCCTTTGATGGCCCAGACTTTGTTTAACTTTAAGGTCAGATAAAAAAAAGAAGTGTTTTTCAAACTAGCATCAGACTTGTTTTCAAAATGCAACTCTTCAAATGAACGTTGGATCCTTTTCTTCCTTTAATTCAAACGGTCTTTCATGTAGACATCTTTGTTTTAAGTAACAGCTTCAACGACTTTGAACTCCTGGGACTCACACATCATAACCATCATCGTCCTCTTTCTCTTTAAGGCCTCGATCTTCACCATTGTTATCCTCATCGTCACACCACAACACTTTGTCCAAGACATCATCAGCCACATCATCAAGTCATTCAACTGTTGATATCCCTAACGGGCAGCTGTGTTCCCATATTCAAATTGTCCCTGCATCATAATTAAAACCATTATCATGTGTGCGTAATGACCATGTGTGCAGCAGATGGAGAGCAACAGTAGTGAGTTACAATGCGGCATGTGTGTGTTGTTTCTTAAGTGTTGTATGTAGGTATACATGTTGATATGCATCCCTCCCATAGGTCAGTACCTCGGGGTAAAGATGTTTCATTTGTATTTGTGTACATGTTTCATAAAGAGCTCAAGAGTGTGATATTGGAAGTAAAAATCCCACTTATTTTCTCCATAGCGGATTTGATTATTAGCATACAGCAGTGTCTTATCTACGGGCCCTGCAAACTTCGGCTGTCGTCTGCTACCACCGAAGTTCCCGGGCGTTCAACACACTATATAGACAAACTACAATATATTACGACATTGTTATTAAGAAGCGACTCCATGCATTGGTCTATGCATTCATTCCCTCATTGATCCACTTTCAACACATGTCTTTTTCTTGCTAGCATTTCTTTGGTCATCAGTCTAGACATGATAATCAATTATTGATTTTAAATCAAATAGTTAAAAAAAAGGTGAATTCATTCATTTGAGAAGTCAAGGATTTGATGATATGCCAACTGATCTGATCGTCTTATTTAATCGCACCCTTCAAGATTTCAATCATTGTTCTATAGCGGTTAGATCCATCTAAGACATTATTCAGTTTGCTCCCTTAGGTGTTTATATGATAAACCAGGCCTACATGGCAGACACCGAACGATGCTGATTTTGATTTATCTCTTTCAGTTAAATTGAAAATGTGACAAAAAGCAGATCCAGTTTTCAGTCTTCATGTATCCACCTCAAAACATGCATACACACTGCAGCATGCACTCTCCACACAACACAAAGGAAATGGATTATACCAGCTTTATTTCAACACATGAATACAGAAATGTGAATGTTGCCACGGCGACAGCTCTGTTTTCAAGAATATTTACAGCATGCAGCCTGGAAATATTTGTCCCAAGTGTTCTTTCTCTCTCTCTATCTCTCTCTCTTTCTCTCTTTCTCTCTTTGGCAAGTGAGCCAGCACACACATTTCTTTTTTTCCCCCTCTTCTTGAAACTGTGAATCATAGTGGAGAATTATGAATATGGCAAAAGCACAAACAAAGCCTGAGTTCTGAGCTCTTTGGGCTCTGAAGGCATCTGCAGGATTCACAGGAGAGGAAACTAAACCATGAAATCACGTTTTGTCAAAGTTCTCAAACATCAAACTGTATCCACCTCCTCACACACACAGCCATTAGCACATTCTGCTGAGTTGCAAACATCATTGAATACAACTTTTAAGTCAAAACAGTTTCCAGCAAGATCATATTTCTCTTGCAAAGCGGTCATCATTTCTTTTTTTTTTGACCACAAACATCCAAAGTGGCGTTTAATTCAAATTGTCAGACTGTGGCAATTAAGCTCCATGGGTCCATATTACCTAAAGAGACCCCGTAATTATTCCAGTGGGCCCACACAATGCTGCTTCTGTGACATGGAGGTCCTTTGTGGTGATCATAGGTCAACACAGACACACACATCCACACACAGACACACACATACATACATAAACACACACACACACACAGCCGCAAATGTCAATCTGGATTCCAGCACACTGACGAGAGCTGTGACGGCCGGTCTCAACGCCGGGAGGAAACTAATGAAATGAAGTCATAATTGACAATGACCTTCATCTTTAGAAATCACAAAAATCAGCAGGATTACATCATCCTCTGTCACCTTAATCATGCAGCGCTACTGATTACAGAGACAGCCTGCCTGCAGTGTGCACATTGTGAGGTTTTGCTTCCAACTGCAATGGAAAAGAAAATCCACATCTTTAGACACTAATTGGGAACATGTTGAAACCCTCTGATTGATTCATTCATCAGGGTGAAAATCTAGATTTAAGCTGTGAAAACACTGTGCAAAGACAGTGTCACACCGCACAGAGACTCAGAGAAAGACAGGATCAGTCAGGATATAATTGAAATCATCGTCCAGCAAAGATGCTCACAGGTATCTCCCTCATAAGTTTTGATGTCATGAAACTCTTAAAAAACAGTGGCTTTCAAAAGTTCCCAAAGTTTTCCAAATAGTTTAGGGAACACCAGCTTTCACTCTGCACGCTGTTGCCACGCTGTTGCATGTGTAAACAGTGGCTTTGGAGTCAGTCCAATCCAACATTAAGAATCCCAAGAGGTGCACTCATGGTTATCAAACCAGGGTCTTTTGCAAATATTCCCCCAAACCGCAGACTCCAAAATCCTGTAAGACAATCCCAATGTCATACCAAAAAAAGTTTATTATTTTCTTAATCTTAGTTTTACCAGAAATATTCCCACTGAGATATAAAATATGTTTCACAAGGGAGTCCTAGCCTAGACAGCAGAGTAAAGTTTCACAAAACACAAATAACAGACAACAAGAAGCAGAACATTTAATCACTTACAGGAACATTCGATGGTCAAATATTCCTTCATGCTGAGAGAAATATCTTCCAAAGTAATACATTCCTCTAGTTTAGGATGACCCTGCAGCTCAGACCAACATAAATACCTAAAATGTGTTTAATATAAGAGTAGAGAGCAAAACTGAATTGCAGGAACTTTTCTTTTTTAATAATGGGGTATTGCTTTGTTTTTGTTCAAATGTTTCACCAAAGGGGACTAAACTGTGTTCATGCTTCAAATTAAGTTTTTAATCAACTTATAGCCCTTCTGAATTTCTTCTTAGTGACAAAATATAAACATTTCTAGAGTTGTATGAAGTTTATAATGTTTCAAAACTATCAGCACAAATTTTAAGGACTTGTGATGGAAAAGGTTTAAGAAGTTTAACCCAAATGTAAAAAAAAAGAATCAAGACTTTTAGAAGAGTTTACTGCAGAGAGCTGACAAAACTACATAAGCATGGTGTTGGTCTCCCAATGTTAGCACATGTTTTGTTGTAATTTTGCCATTTAAGCATCTTAAAGTTACATCATCCTGAGCCAGAGTGGAACAAGTACAGACCAGAGCGCAACAGTTTCTCCATTCACCTGATGAAAAGTCATGAGCCAGCAAAAAAGTTCAGTCACAGAAAGAGATCACACCTCATCCAGCAACAAAAAAATCAATACATGGAGAGAGGAGCACATACCTTCTAACGGCTGATAGGCAGAGGAGCAATGGAAGCAGAGCTGGAGGTGGAGTAGAAATAATCCAAAGAACCAGGGAGGAATGCTGCAAAAGTAAAGAGTTGGAAAAGTTACTAAAAGTTGACTCAAAGAAGTTATTGAGAGAAAACACAGTGTGTTTCATTTACCGTGAAGTCATCTTCAGTGATGAGGTGAGCTTAGATCCAAACTTGTCCTGCTCATGCGTGAGAGCTTTGGTACCAGAGAGAGAGATGGATCCCACTCTGCCTTCCTCTCTCACCAGCTCCAAACTAAAAGCCTCTCTGACTCTCCTCCTCCTTCTCCCTCTCTCTCTCTTTTGCTCTCTCTCTCTCTCTCTTTTGGTTCCCAGTCAAACAAAGGCAGCTTCAGTGAGTCCCAACTCCAGAGGCCCTCGCATAAACTGAAATCTGACTCCTCGTGTGTCTCTCTATGGACCACCGCTTTTATAAGCCGGCCCTCCCTCTCAGACACCACAACTCCAAATACAAATTAACACACTCTGGCTGAGTCCTCCTCCCCCTGTGCTCCTCCGGCTCCCCCTCTCTGGTGTGTTCTCTCTCACTTTCTCTGTGATTTAAGGCTCTTTTCTTGTGTGGCCTTGACCTGTGGTAGGAGATGTGTCAGAAGGTTCAACATCAAGTCCTAAACCTTCTTTTTAAGTGTAACTTAAAAGAAAAGAAGTTATCACTGGAAATAAATAATTTGTGAATGAAAGCTCATACTCGCTGGTATGACAGGAGTGTTTTTAATTTTGACAACCAAACCTACTTTCAAACGGTACCAACTTTTAAAGTGAGAATTTTTTATAAAGCTTTGTAGTCCTTAAAGACTTTATATGTGATTTTTTGATCCAGCAGATGTCGCCCTTGAGCACCAGCATGAAACCAAAACAACTCACGCTGCATTGTTGTGTTAGCATGCTAATGCTAGCGATCTTTATTATGCTGGTATCTTCACACTGCATGTAAATTTACCTGAAATGAGCGTGATCTAGAAACACAGTTAAGCAGTGAGTACAGTATGTTATTCTTCTTTTCTCTAGTCCCTCAATTAAACAACTTTTACACATGAGGGGAGGAGTCAGCCGGCCGTCCCAGCGATGTAAACAAACTGAAGATAGGACTCTGAAAACTCTGAAAACATCACAGACAGTGGGACTCGGGTGTTACACCCATTGTAGACAGTCATGACTCACAGAGTTATTTTCAGAGGATATACTTGATTTCTGCATTTAAGTGTGAAAATTTGCATATAAAGCCTTTAAACTGTTTGATGTATTGGAAGTTCTGAACATCTGACAGTAAAAGCAATAAAAGCGCTGACATTTTTAGTGATTGATGATCATTGCATGTACCATTGTAAAAAAATCTGATGTTGTCTACTCTTACTGATGCTTTTTAGGATCTTAGTTTTGGTGGCTTCCTTCAACCCAAGCTTGTTATCTAGAGTTATCTTCAGGAGTGTCTTGTTATTTTCAGGAGTGTATATGTGAAAACGACTAATGAGGCAAACTGATCAAATGCTGATACATGTTTTTGGATGTTAGCTTTTTGATTGACTTGCGACTAGTCCAGGATGTACTCAGCCTCTCTCCCAATGACAGCTTGGATCGGCTCCAGCTCACTTCTTTCCCACTTTCCACAGAGCGAGAAAAAGTTAAAAATATGGGGAAGTTACAACATCTCTGCTGGTGATGATTCCATCCCTGACTGATCTGCCTCAATGTCTGGACTCAAGAGCATTCTGCAGTGGTACCAACTGGAATCTGCAGACAACAAACATCCTAAATCATCCAGCAGTCTAGCTGCAGGAGCCAGTGTGGTAGTGGGGAGGACAGATAGAGAGGTGTTAAGACCTTGTCTTTGACAGCTCAGACAGATAAGAGCCTTCACGGCCTGTGAAGGATGTTGTTCGAGAGGCGGCATCAAGTGATAAGCCGTCCTCACTTCACTGACCTCGCGCAAGCTGACCATTGCTGTTGTCAAGTGACATTCCTTCTACATTGCAATTTTACCAAATGAGGTCTTATTTAAGTCATCTTTGGTCATGCATTTGACTTACAACCTTTAAATTTAAGATTCTAAATATTGAGCTAAAAAAGGAAATAGTTTCACACCACTACGATTCAGGGGGGATTGTGGCACCATTTTTGCATCTACAGAAAATAGGGTATTAAAATGACTTTCATTGCCAACTGGGAAAATGTTAAAATTTGTAATTATGGAGCGAAGATCTGAAATGCAAACACAATCCCATTTGAGACCAACAAACCAAGGTCTTGTTGACTGGCGCAGATGAATACCATGTTTCTATTTAGTATACAGACAGGTATTATTTGTCTCTTATAAGTATAGTTTTATGTTTGTTATGTTTTAAACTAGGCCATCATTATATAAGGACTTCTCCACAGTGTATTGAATGACAGGAATGTTAGAATTGGAGTTCGTCAGCGTGACCTCTGGCCTTATTAGGGGTTGTTGCACAACCAATAAGTCCTTCCTGCGATAATCTGTTTAGATAAGTTGGAAGTCTTTATGACCCAACATGGAAGAGGTATGCAGGTGCTCACTTTGACTCACAGGTGTCCAGTTTAGTCACTGTTTTTGAAGTCAGAGTTGATGATGGAGGTCTGTTTTGGTCAAAATAAGGTTTCTAGTGAGGCATTCAAACATTAGAAGAGTCAGTGTTTGTGCTCTTGTCTATGTTAATACATACCATCACAGCTGGTTGATGATGTAATGAGTTTATGCACGTATTGTCTTGCATTTGTCCTGGTATGTTTGCTTTGTGCTGATCATGGATCACATGTCAAACACTGATTTTCATCCATCCCCAGGAAAGCATGGGCAAGAACGTCACACTCTGTGCATTGTAACATGTCAGTTCCCCTATAACAAGCAGTAATTACAGATTCCTCCCAGGAACATTTACCAGAGAAAAGTCTTGATAATTAAAAAAAAAGTACTGATTGATGAGTTTTGTTGGTATTGCTCAAGGTTTCTGTCTGATATAAATAACATTTTCTCATGATAGATTAATTTTGGGTCTTTGTGTTAATCAAACCAAGAGTAAGGTCCTTTTTACCAAATCTCAAGTGACTTGAGGAAACTTTTGTTATGAATTGGCGATATACAAATAAACATTGATTTGAAAAAGATTACTCTACGCCCCCTCGATACTACTCTTCTGATGAGTGTTCTCCTCATGATCTCCATAGCGGTCTGTGTATTTGGAGGTAAACAAAGTGATCCCACTCTTTGTGAGGAGCGAGACAAGGAGACAAAGAAAAACAGACTAGCGTTTCTATGCAAAGAAAACAGTAACACAGACAAGAGAAGGGGGGTTTAGGGTGAGGGTTTTGAGTCTGTGGGTGGCTGCAGATTAAAAGGGGTCCAGTCGGAGGTCTCGCTGCTATGAGTCAGTAATGATATCTTAGGATGGATATCTCCTTTGCTGTTGCGCAGGCAGTTGTGAGAACCAGGCTGAGCTGCTCCAGCCGACATTGAAAAGCACCAATGCACAAAAAGAAAACACATCTGCAAGCAGTGCTTGGGTTTATGGTCTGAAAGGGGGCATTTCCTTGGAAGGGGATTTCCATGTTTTGACCTCAGTGGCTTGTGGCTGTAACAGTCAATCAGGGAGGTAGCTGAAGACTAACCAAAGACTTAAGTCGATAAAATTCAGCCAAAACAGTATGGTCTTTTGAAGCATTTGTGGGGTAAGCACAGACTAAAAACCCTACTTTTATTATATTGGATCTCTCAAGCGTGGATTTGCAGCTTGATTTGATGTTGAAAGAAGATTAGAGCAAAGCAAAATGAGTCAGACAGAGCTGATGAATGTAGGATGGAGTAAAAGGAATGGGGCACCAAATCGTCAACTTTTACTCCTGATAAGAGGCGTTTTCTGCTGCTCATATTTTAAATATTTCTTATCATATAGGCCAAGATTCCTCACAGCTCCTCTGACCCAATGTAGGTGTCTATTATCCCTCAGACAGAACGTCAGAAGAACAGTGATAAAGGCTGTGGAGGAGAATGAAAACAGGGATACTGAGCAGATTGAAGAGGGTTATTATGTACAATTCCCTTCTAGTCTGTCAATCAATTATTATCATTTGACTTGAAAAATGTTGTGCTTGCACAAACCATACTCAAATTTAAATGGAATTAAAAACGAGTTAGGTCTTTGCCTGGTATTTGTACCCTTGTGTTGCACAGAATCAATTGCAAGAATTACACAAGCAATAAGTTTTGTATCTAATGTCTTAAGTTTCTTAAGAGGTAAGATTAAGCAGGTTTGATGCCGTTATGACGCTTGATGCTTTCTAATAGTTTTGCACCCAAACACCAAGTCAAATTCCTTCAATGTGTAAATGTACTTGGCAATAAAAAACGATGACACTGACCAGATAATCAAACACAGGGAGTGTTATATTTCAGGGCAAAGTATGACACATCCTACTGAATAATGCAGCAAAATCCAAACTCATATAAATCAGTGCCACCATTCAAAATACATCAAAGAAGTCACACCAAGTTGATGCAATCTGTTGAAAGTCAGCAAAGTAACATTTACATGTAGAGCTGTCAGTACGGATTATCCTTGGAGTGTTGACAGTGGGCCTTTCCCATTGACAAACTTACTGTGAGGCCATTGGCGCCCCGGCTTTTTATATTTTGAAATAAATGTTTATCTGGACTTGCCAGGAGAATGGGGCTTACAATACATGTAATTAGATAGCTTTAGAGAGTTAGACAAATACACTGGCTAAGATTAGAGTTTTTGCAGTGCTTAAATTGTAGATTAATGTTGTGGTTGATGGTGGGTTGTTGGTGGAAGGTTTGGCTAATAATAGTCGTTGTTTGCTTTTGTTTACTGTTCTATGGTTCACTTTGGGGTTGGGTCATTCCTCTTGCTGATGCCAAAGCAAAAAAATGGTCTTGCTGAAGTTGTGTTAATAGTAGTGTAAATAATAGAGCTCCAAAACATGTAATAAAATGAAAGGCGGTCAGTTTTACATAATTGCAGCAATGAAAAGCAGTCTTTTTTTCCCCTCTGGTGCATTTGTGCTGTCTCGATCTTAAAGCCTACATATCTTCTTTTTGGAAAAATAACACCTTCTTTGAGAGTTTTTTTAGCTTCTCATCTCCGTCTCCATTTTTCACTCTGCTTTTCACTTTCTTTTCCTTCACAAGCAGAGTGACTGACACTGACTCCCCAGCCCTCAGGATTGGGAGGAGGATTCAGCAGCGTTATGAAGCTTCTTCACAAAGCCTGGGGGCACTTTGTGGGTTCAAAGGTCACTCTTGGTCTCTGAGGGTGGGATGATGCTGGAGCTGCTGAAGGTGGTCCCACAGAAAATAACAAGTGCTTTTGCTGCTTTTAAGGCTGAAATTCAAAC